AATTTAATTTTCCGGAAGTCAAAGTAAAAGGAAATATTCTGACCCAGAAAAGTTTTGGTGATTACTTTTCAAGTGAAACGTGATTAGAAATTTCCGAATTCTTTAGTTTTTATAGAGTGTAGTTGTAAAGTTTTCCTCTAGTGTCTTTAATCTTTATTAAATGTCTAATTTTTTAACCTTCATTCAAGTTGAGATGTCAAAGGCAATCTTTGAATATGTGTTGAACGTGATAAAATGAGAGTAAATTTGCAATAAATTAAAAGGAACTTGAGGTTTTTTTTTTTTTAGTTGCCTAATGAAGCAGAAGAAATTCCCTCTGAACTTAATGTACTCCCAGCCCAGTATAAGCAGTAAATAATCGATTTATTCCTTTTATATCAATATGTACATCCCTAGTTTTACACAAATGTAAGCTATTAATTTTGCAAGAGTGAAATGTGACTAATTTTTCAATTAAAGATTTACTTTCTTAGCTTCATGTTTAAAGTTTCGATTTTTATGCTTTAGGCGTACCTTTTTATTGATATAAGCAATTTTATGTTAAGTTTTATTTATAAATTAAAGAATACTAAAGTAACACTTAAAATATACTTTATAATCTATTAAAAGCAGATGAAAGTTAAATTTCCTATCTCTTATAAGAAACTAACGAGTTCTCTCTGAAATCCGCTCACTGTTAATTACGATATTCATAGAAAATATTTCAAATGGAAAAATCCATAAATTCTTTAAATTCAACAATTTACTTAAAAATTAAACTTGAAATTGAATGAAACTATGGGAAAACATAAAATTTTAAATCTTATTTTAACCTTCTAGAAAGTGCAGAGTTTTCAGAATTTGGTATTGTGTATAGAATATAACTTATATCACTAAACATAATCGAGTAATATACTGCCCAACCTTGTTGTTTTTGAAAGTAGTTTTAAATTATCTTGAAAATGGCAAGCATTAAGCTTTTAAGCAATTTTAACAAGTGTTTAGAATTCCACTTAGCGCTTAAATGCCGGTTAGTTTCTTAAAAATTAATGTTCAATAACTGAAACCAAGGAGACTATTACTGTAGAATCTTCAGATCACTATTGTATCTACATGAAGCGCTCTTCCGCATAGCTAAAGAAGCTGCTTCCAGCATTCAAAACACCCACTTCCTCGTCTGCTCAGCTGTAGCATCACTCTTAACCTCCTTTCACCTTTTTATTTTCAGTGGATTGTTTTAACGAAACAAATTATAGACAGTGAACTGAGTGACTCGGGAAGGTCGGATGTTTTTTCGCTTGACTGACCTTACCATTCATTTTATAAAATGCGTGTAAATACCGTACTTTGTCGTGCTTTAAAGGTGCCGGAATTTCATAAGGTTTATAGTCTGTAACAGTACATTACGATGAGGCGAACGTAAATCTTTTACACAATAAGATTAAGAATGTGAAATAAGATTAGAATGCGATATTGTATTTTGTCTAGTTTTTGCAAGAGTTTTAGTTTTTCCGAAAATTTTAGATACTCATTCATAAAATTGATAAATAATTGAAATTGTTACTAAAAAGTATAAATATTCATCAATATGTGTGAAAGTAAACTATGTACATGCCAAGGTCAATGTAGTTATAGCCTATTAATAGCCATAGCCATTACTTTATATAACGAATATATTAAAAACGTGGTTCGAATATACTTAATCAAATGTGCTATCCTGCTAATAAAATTTTTTCAATACACTGTTCATTTATGACAATACAATCATATTTCATGTTACTACCTTTCTTTGCAATTGCTCTAAGAGAAACCAATTTGATAATTTAAAATTTTATCAAGGAGTGTATTAGTGTTTAGAATACCACTGAAATGTTTTAATCATTAGTAAAATACTAAGCTCATAAACGCGTCAAATTTAACTAGCTTTATTTTGCTTGGTATCTTAAGATCTAAACATGCTCTGCAAAGACCAAGACAATGAACCGGAGTGATATATTAGTTTTTCGCGACACTCATCTCAATCTTATCCTAGTGTTACTAGATTCTTAAATAGCATCTGTATAAAAAATTTTATTGGAAGCCAGTCTAATCACTAAATAATTGAATAACAAGAGTAGGACATACAAACAAGTTGCAATATTAAAGCTATCAAATCATTCCTCCAAAGCTTTGTCGGTAAATCTTGTCGCCATTTAAAAGCCTCGGTAATATATTCGACTAAATCATCGCTAAGAATAATTTGCAATGCAAAGTTTAACATTCTCTAACACTAATCTGGTTACTTAAATGATATTTCACATGAAAAAGTAATAATAATTTAACATATTATTCAGTAGCTTTATGTATTTTAAATTTCACAATAAACCTTATAATCTTGAATTGACAATTGCTTTTTAAAGTATTTCCTAGACTTATTGAAATCTTTACAAATCTATCTCGTGATGAGACTCGTCCTTCCACGATTGAAGAAGATCGGAAGATGGTGAATTGAACATGACCTAAATATAGATTGCGTAACCAGTTTTCTCTACCTTATTTCTGTATCGCCTCTGGATTTAAATTCTCTAGGGGAACGGATGAACAAATTGATTCTATTTTCTCAGTAAAATGTCGGTCACTCTTGGCAACACCTGTGCAATAGAAAATTATTTAATCGCACGCTTTCATTCTGACTAGATAATTCTCTTAATTTTTCTTATCAGTAATTTTAACTGATATTTTCCTCAAGTTTAATGCCTTTCATATCAGCTATAAGAGCACATTTTGGATTTTGTGCCATTGAATACTACATTGAACTCTAGAAATTCTATAAAGAACTCCACACTTATCTGTTAGCCTACAATAATTTTTATAATATGGACCATAATATCTTTGAAGAAGCATAGTGTTATTAACTATCGCTTTATAACAGTGTGCTCCATTACTTTATTTAACTTAGGATTAGTACAGTATAGCAGTTTCCGTCTCTTGTATTATTTCTCTTAATCTAATCCAATTAACTCCATGAGAATTTTATTTAAGACATTTTGATTAACGTGTCGTCTAACTATAAATTTTAAAATTATTTAAAATAACAATTTCTTTATAGGTCAATAAAATGCCTTTAATGTTTATCCTAAAAGCAATAGGAAGGTGCCGTTAGGTTTGCGTAGCGCTTGAAATAGCTATCAGCATGAATGATTTTTGCCCAAGGATGCAAAGCATTAAACATGGTGCAAGCAATAAGATTGCATGAATGAGCTTTTTAAAGAGCACTTTTGTTCCATTTGATTCTTTTCAAGCTAGTTTTGCTTAACGCTTTCTCTCACTCGCGAGTGTTTCTACTGTTAGAAGGCGATAAAACTGCAGAGCGAATTATTTATGACGTAGGAAATTTTTACTTTTGTTCGTCACTGTTTGAATGATTTGTTACACGAAAGCACGAACAAGTTTCTTCAAGTTCATCTTGTTTAAATTTACACCAGATGAGAAATGTATTCAAAAAGGATAGAAATTTACAAAGTTCTAAGACTAACAAAAATATTAATTTATCTAGGATACAAGTTACTATTAAATCTAGTTAATTTTTGTAAGATGTAGTGATCACAGAAATTTCTAACTTATCACGTGTTCAATTTTAATTGATTGCTGGTTCAGCTTTCCTTTAGATAGAAAGTGTACTTTTAACACAAGCAGTTCTAAACCATATAGCAATTAGTATCTAAAATAATTAGCCCAAGTTGTATCCTTACGGACTAAATATATAGAAAATGATTGTGAAAGTTCAAAATTTTCCATAAGATTAGCTACATCTGTTCATGGCTGTTCTCTAAACTTTAATGAGACCATTATAATCTTAGATTCTTCAGTTCCTACCGCCACCAACAAGTCTAAGAATCTTTTCATGCTTTCCAGCTTTTATTTTTGGATATGGAGTCGTTATGAAATAATCAGAAGTCCGTGTTTAAATTTTCGCTTAATAGATAGATCATGTCAATTTACACTGAAGAAAAACGTTTGATATTTAATGCTCTTGATACTTCATAAACTATTCTCCCAGAGCTACAATTCTGTCCCTAATATACTCCTTAAATGCAAATTCCCCTCCAACGTTTATTTGCAGGCTAATGATTACAAAAGCTAAAAATATGCCTCTCGCATTGACAAAGGTAAATTGAAACTAGTCCTCTAATACAAAAGGAACTTTGAAGAACAGTGTTGCTCAAAAGCATTAAATGTCAATTGTTTACGTCGAAATTTTCAGCTTTTATTTGATTATTTATCCTTCACAATCAACTTTTGATCTACCTAAGTCATTAGAAAATGCATGTATACCCTAAACTTCTAAGGCATGCAAAAATTGCTGTATCTGAAATTTATAATACAGAACATTGATGTTTTAGTTATTTTTACCTCTCAGGACTAATCTAAAAGTTATTATTTGTTTGTTTCAAATAGTTTTAAATCTGATATAGTTCCAATTGGACGAAACAAATTTCCCAAAAACTAACATGGGATAAGTGTGTATTGTGCTTCTAATTCTGTCTCGTATACTGTAATTTGAAGATTAAAATGTCATATAAATTTTAATGCATCAAATTTGCACATTATCTTTGCATTTATCTTTTAATTGACTACTTTACTACTCACGTGCAATTGAATTCTTAATGTTATAAAGTTATACCAACCTTTTTATTAACAGACAATATGGTATTTAAAATGAAAACTGCACAGTAGTTTGAAGTTAACCTTAAGTTATTTTATTGAAAATAAATTTTAATTTCAGTTATGAATATTTACATTTAGCTTGTTTACTAAAAATACCAAAGTTTATAAGTATTGATTCATAACAATAAACAACAAAGATTAAGTAACAGATGGATAAGTAAGAAAAATTTTCTTCCTACAAAAGATAGTATGCGCATTAATAAAATTTTCAGTCATCACTATAAAGTTACTGTACTTCTCTTAAAGATAATATATCCTCACGTCTTAAATTTAATTCAATTTAATTCTTTTACTAATGTCCATTTTTATTTCAGACAGCAGAGTTCAAAACTGGCTGTTTATGCAAGGTCCTGCTCCAACTCTTTCAATATGCCTTTCGTATGTTCTATTTGTCAAATACATTGGACCCTTTCTTATGAGGAACAGAGCGCCACTGAATATCAGATGGCTCATGATCTTCTATAACTTTGCCATGGTCGTCATCAGCACTTACATTTTCATGGAGGTTTGTTTTATGAACAATCTGTTGCCTACACATTTTAAATTCAGTAAATCGCTCACTGTTATTTTCAGCTTATTTGGAATCTTAATTCACATGTGCATTGAGAAAAATAAGTTTAAATTATCCTTAACTAGTAATTTAATGCTGTTTACACTGTTGACATTAATTTTTCGTGAAGCTACCTTTTCCGTGAAGCTACCTTTTTGGCCATCGGAACCTTATTAGATGAAGTCTCTTTAATCCATCACTGATTTAAATAAAATAGAGTTATGAAAGTTTAAAGATTACGTAAGAATAATTAAACATGAAACCTGGTTCATTAGTTTTCGACTTATGGAAGCCAGTTAATAATTCCCTAACTGTCAAGCCATAAAAAAAAATTTTATTTGATCAATTAATATTACCTATCGAGGAGGCTAATGGAATTTTCAGAGATAGTATTTATGGGATATTTGTTTCAAATGTTCATTATTTGTAACTCTTTGTTTCCTTATTTCCAAATTTACGATAAAGTTTTAAAAACTAAAACCTGTTTTTTTTTGTGGGGGAGGGGTCCAATAACGTCGAAATCTCATGTGAAAGGCTTAAAACATTGAGACTTCAAAACTTGTTTTAATAATTGTTTTAGCATAATGTGTTATCAAACTTCCTGCACCTAAATCATTATGAAATTGACTATCACACTGAGAATTAAATTTAAACGTTACCATTTTAAGAACTAAAACCTCATGCGTATCTTAATTTTTAAGGAATCTTATAAACTCTGATAAAAATATAAAAAACGAGATTTCAAAATATTCAGAACTTTTTTCATTGTTTATAAATTGAAATTACCTAAAATTGTTGAAGTGAATTTATAATTATTTTAGCTCAATTAAAGGTGTTTAATTTTAAAATCATTAGAAATTTGTGTTCAACCAATTTCCTTGTTTGCTTAATATTTTAATTTACTATGCAATTTCAGTTTAATAAAATTTCGTTTTTTTTTCAGTTGGGATTCTTGGGTTGGTTTTCTAAATACAACTGGAAGTGCCAACCTGTCGATTACTCGGGAAGTCCAGATGCCACAAATGTAAGTAGTATATTATTGGTAAAATTCATTTTCAGCTCTTTAAATGTTTTTTAATCTTACTAATTGTAATTATTAACTCGTAAATGGGGTCTCTGAAATTTTATATATTGATGGACTAAAAAATGCCAAAATATTGCTCTTAACTGCAAGGGTGGGATTTCTAGCTTTTGAATGCAGGCAAGTTTAGCTTTGCTTAGAAAAATATTTAACTTATAAATATTAAGACTTTATTCAACTAATTCTTATAAATATGTTTCATGAAAAGGAGAACATTTCTAAAATTATAAAATTTTAAATTGGGACATGTATTTGCCTTTTAATAAAACATATTCCAGTAATCGTCAGTTCTAAATTTTCCTCTTAGTTTAGTAGATTCAGCGCTGTTATTTGCTGTTGTAGTGTACTTACTGCATAAAAGCTACAATCTACTAAATTCATTAAATCTTTTTTTAAGCAACAAGTCTTAACAATTAGTCTTGTTGAGGAATTATTTCAAATTTTAACTAACATTCAATTTTCATGAAGACTTTTTAAGTGACAAATTTTCTATTCGAAACCAAATTCACAACCATGCAGTTGGATACCAGAAGTTAAATTTATTTTTGGTGTTCGGCCAATGGTCTAAATGGAGACTTAACGCTCAGCGTACCATGGTCAGACCAGCAAATTATATAATTCTTGGTTTATTGTACGCATGGAAAGAAATGTCGTTTCTTTGAAAATTTGATCGCTTTAATTTTTCGTTCAAATCTTAAACTGTTTGTTCTTATCACTTCGATTTTATTTTCTAGATGGCACATCTAGCTTGGTGGTATTATCTTTCAAAGTTCCTGGAATTCACAGATACGGTAAGCTTGATTATTTTTCTAAATAAACATGTTCGCTAAAGTTCATCAGTTTTCTCATAAAACTTAGTAGTTTTTCAAATTAACTGGAAATTTTAAAAAATTATAAGCCAAATTTATATAAACTAATGTTAAGGCTAAACTACGTTAAGAACAGATTTCAATAAATCCATCAAAGCACTTTTCTATGGAAATTTAAGTTTATAATTTAAAGTTAGTAATTTATAGTGACTATGTATTTAGAACAAAGTAAAGCACTTCTATGATAAGAAAATTCTGTTGATAGTTTTGATTTAAGATTGAATCCACAATGAAGGTGTACTCTATCGCAAAGTGAAATGTACACCTTCCAAAAGTCGAATGTACACCTTTACACATTACATTCAAAATATCAATTTATTCAACAAAAAAAAATTTCTTATTAACATGTTTTTATGTATTCTATTGTCAGTAAAATACATTTAGCTTTAAGTAATATGCTTGATAACATTTAATAAGGCTTTATTTCTGTGCCGTGTTTTACGACGGTCCATTTGTCTATTTCTGATAATAACGAATGTTAGTGTTACTTAAAGCAATTCTTATTTTACTCTTTTAGTCTAATAATAGTAGGATTTTAAAAAGTAAATTCTTCGTTCGGAAGTAAAATTCTCTCTTTACAGTAAAACTTTTCTCGAACAAGATTTTTGAACTTTTGACTTTTTCATGATTTGTGCGGTGTCTTGTACTATGACTATCTGATAAATTATGACTTTTGCACAAAATTTACAAGGATTTGTTTTGAACATTTTGGCTGCCCGTAGAAGTTTTCTCTATTTTTAAGTTTTTTAATTTAAAAGGTTTAATTTATCTTTACATAAATTAAGAAAAGTCCTAATAAAGATAGGGTATGCTTTATGTTATATATCATTATATTAAGTTTTGAAACTTGTCATAATATCTGTTTACTCGTTTGTAGGCTGCGATTACCTATAAGTTCATTAATTATGTGTGCGTGAATAGTTTACGCAGAATCAGACAAATTTGAAAATTATAGTTATTTGGTAGAACAAGATTGAAAGTTGTACATTATATGTGAGGCATATTATGAAACTCTGTACTAATTAATTTCTTGCAAAAATGAAGTAACTCTAAAATTAGAAATTAAGATTTTTAAGTTTAGAAAGAAATGGAATGAAAGATTAAATTCCTGGAATTCTTGAAATTTCATAGAATAAGATTTTCTTTCGTAATAGACCTTGACGTATAACTGAATCGGAATAGTTTTAAAATATATGGTGTTTAACTCATCTTTATTCGTTGTAGATATTTTTTGTTCTGAGAAAAAAGTTCAGCCATATATCAACTCTTCATGTTATACACCATGGGATTATGCCAATGAGTGTATGGTGGGGCGTCAAATTTACTCCAGGTAAGTCGCATCAAACTTATTGCACTAATTTGATTTCTAAAGTAATCTATGCATTAAAAAAACTAAATTTTTTAACTTTATTAGAAAAAATTCACGCCTGTGCTAATAATCACTAAATTTACTTCCTATAATTTCTTTTGAATTCATGAAGACTTTTATTTTTAATTTCCCCTTAATAACTATACTCAAAGACGACTCTGTGGTGTTATGGGTAAATTTTACTCAAATTTTTTTTAAATAATCTCAGGCAAATATGGTATCGATTCGAACTTGACTATTACACCGTTGCGGCTATCTAGCTAAATTTAACAATCAACCCGGAAGACCAGAGTTAATGGCGCAGATCCTTATGCAATCCTACAGATTTGGTATTTGACTTAAATTTTAAAAAAAAAATACAAAACAATTTAAGTTTGAAATTATGGAAAATAAGAGTTTACTTCGTTTTAATTAGAAATAAAGCGGCAAATCCACAATTTTCTGTGCTCATGAACAATCTTAACCAGCTAAGGACTTAATTTTAGAAATTCCTTAGCTGGTGCGTAATTAAAACAAAACCTTGGCGTGTATTTATGCACGTAAAACGTAGGGCAGATGATCCTATTATAAGTTTTACGAAAATTTACAACCAAGATTTCCTTAACAATTATAATTCATTTTTTAACCAAAGCGATTCCTACGTTATAACTGGATAGTTTGTTTCGGGCCATGAGCCTCACTCCCAGCATTGCAATATAAAATACTTAGCGCTTCTACTGGTAATGTAGAAGAAACTTGCAACCAAATATTCTTGTATTTTATTGGTATTTTGAGATTTAATAGTAAAAATGAATTTATTTTACACAGCGTGCCATATGCACTATAATAAAAATTTGTTCTGACGTGTATACACGTCAAGCGCCTTTAACTTGTTAAAAAAAAGTTGTCAGTGATGGTTGTCGGTTGCTCATAAATATTATAAATATTTTTTCAGGTGGCCACAGCACTTTCTTTGCCTTTGTAAACTGTTTGGTACACATAGTGATGTATTTCTATTATGCTCTTGCTGCTATTGGACCCAGTATGAACAAATATTTATGGTGGAAGAAATATATGACTGCATTCCAGATGGTAAGAATTCTTCTCTTTTCGTTGAAATTTTACAATTGGATTATCTAAAAGCTGAATATTTGCTCTTATGCAGGGAAAAATAATCTGATTTAACGAATCTGTAACACTACGTAAACATGCACAAAATCGAAAAAGTATATACCGTAATAATTAAAAATTGAAAAATTTCCTTTTTATTGCTCTATATTTGATTAAAAGTTTTTAGAAGTTGGTTTAATCAAAGTTAACTGCACTAAAAACATCCGATCCATAAGGATCAGAAATGTTGCTATTGCTTGCTGATGGCTTTTCCCTAATCTAGCAATATTCCCGATAAATTGCCTATAACTTCACTGTTATTAACTGTAAAAGATAACACGTGGTTTTCAATAACTTTCGAAATATTACTTCAGTGACGTTGTCCTCACTTTGCCATTCACGTTTATTATATTTACTTACGGGCACTAAAATCTGGTTAATTTTTAAAGAACAAAAATAATTCAGTGAAACTAGTTTTTGATAAGAGCTTAAAGTACGAAACCACCTATTTAAATAATTGAAAAGAGAAAGACAGTCATTTAAACTGCAAAGGTGCGCAGTTCTTTTACTACAAAAATCTGTTCTCACACCTCATCCGAAAAATTATGTAAGGATTTTTAGGACTGAGGCTAAAATTTGCTTCTTTCATCCACTGCCCGAATTTCAGAATTTTAGAACAAACTGTTCTGAAGTTAGATCTTGTTCCTTTTATAAATGATAAAAACAGGATACCCCACTGACTATTCGTACAACAATCAGTTGGCTCAGAAAATATACTTAGTATTAGTTGACTTGTTTGATGGAAAAAAGTTTAATATTTATTTATTTAATTATATTTCTCAATTTTATTTAAATTTTAATCTTAAAATTTCAAAATTTAGTAAGCGACAACCAAATCTTTTGCAATACCTTGTGATATAAGTTATCGGTCGAAGCATGTAGCATAAAAATGTAAAATTTTCCTCTTACAATTTAACAGTCTGTTGAACTATATCACTATACAAAAATAACTAGGTGAGCCTATTCTACCATAAAAATTTACTGCATTATTGTATGATATTAAATATAAGAACCATTGATATATCAAATGAACCTTTTGAATAAGTTTTGCAGTCACATTAATTGAAAATCTGCTCTAAAGTGCAAGCTCTTGACATTTCCTATATTTCCTTGTTTCTTTCAGTTAAGTTATAAATTTTTTCCAGGTTCAATTCATTGCCATCTTTGTGCACTCCTTCCAACTGCTGTTCAGAGAGTGCAACTATCCTAGAGGTTTCATGTGGTGGATTGGATTCCATGCTGTCCTCTTCTGGTTCCTTTTCGCAGACTTCTACAAGAACACCTACCTCAAGATCAAACGAGCTAGAAAAGCGTCCCTAAATGGCTCTGCTTACACCAATGGTAAATCAAAATCAAATGGAATAGCCAACGGACATGCAAATGGTAACGGAGTTTCTAAACACAATGGTACGAATGGAGTGATCAAAAATGGATCATCCGTACAAAATGGCCACCACGTGCCTTCTGAACCTTACACAAATGGCGTCACATCAAATGGACATTCAAATGGTGTTGTGCACAGGACGACAACAGCATCAACTGAAAATGATTAGCCCTTTAGAGTGAACAAAAAAAAAAACTTTTGATCGCCATGGATAAATTTTAAGTCTGAATCCTCGCCAAAAGACTTAGCACGAGATTGCTCAGTTACAGTGCCTTAATGTCATTGTGTTAACTTTTACACTTGAACATAATTATTTAATCTTCATTTGTGTATGTGAATATCCCCCCGACTTGATAATATCCTGCGCTGTTTCTGAACAAAGCAATAATCGTGGAATTGGCGACTTTTGCCAAGTGCAAACCCATATTTATTTTGAAAGGGTTCATGCAATGAAGTTGCTTGAAGCAACACAAAGCACAAAATTCCAGTCAAGTGCAAGTATCTAGTTTTATGTAATTTATTGAATATTTAAATTTTAAAATTCCATTGTAACAAAACTACGATTTTGTTGCACCTAGAGAAACGCCCGCAAGAACGTAAATTTGTAGATGTCCACATCGGTCTTTAGAGGCAGATTTGAACAACGCGGAACAAGTTTTGCGCTGCTACATTGCTATGCAGTTTAGTTGTAAAATTTTAATAACAATAGTTTTTAACCTTTTACTACTTGTGTTCCAAAGATTTTAGGAGAATTCCATTTTTAATGTAGAAGTGTCGCAATACTTCTGTTCTCTGGTGTCAAATTGTAATGTTTTGGGGGACCATAAACATTTATACAACTTGTACAGTATTTTGAACTCCAGAGTTTTAATTTGATGCCTTTAAAATTTACAGTTTGTATTTGCCTTATTGTGTGAAAAAATAAATGTTTATACTTTGTACTTTCAATGTGTGGCTTATTAAGAGTAATGTATAAGTTCACAATATTCAATGTACGACTTTGAACACATCATTACAAATTATTTGCGCAAATCAATTGACAATTCCTCTGACTGGAATGCATTCGACTAGCACAATAACAGCCTATTTTTATCTTAAAGGCATAATGTCTCGTTCTCTACTTTTCTAGAAATTATCATAACCTGAAAGAGTTACGCGTTAACCTGAAGGTATGAGTTTATAAAATCAAGAAATTATTAGTCTGCTCGTGTAGTCCTTAATTTTAAAAGTTACTGTATTTATGCATCAAAAGCACGTTCAATTTACGGGTATTAAAAAAAATAATAAGCTATCAGTAAAATCCAAAATTTTATTTTGAAATGTTACATAAATTTGAACTCCTTTTTTTATACTAGGTTTTAAATTCCTAAACAAAATTCTTAGGCCAGCTTTTAATTTATTCTTTTAATAGTGACATTAAATTAGTTCAAAAATAGGTTAAGTTGAGTTAAGGTCACATGCGTCCCTTAATGTCCAGTAGAATCAAAACTCTATTTAAACAGTACAGTAGAATTTTTATTCTGCAATTTTTATTAATGTCTATCTCATGTTAAATAAGTTTAGGAAATTTTAAAGTCCAAAACATAAATACAAATATTTATACTAAAATGTACGCCTGGGCTAAAGTGAATTGAAATTGTCTGTATTGAAATTCTTGTTAAAAATTAGAAAATTGCATCCTAATTTAAAGAATATACTCGCACCTTACTCTCCGTTTTAACTTTCCATATTTATATTCGATATAATAACTCGCGGCTGCATCTGAATAAGTTCAAGATATTGAAGCAATATAAAGTTTTAAAACCGTTGAGGCATTCGCAAAAAACAACTCTAAGAAATTTAATTTGGCATTCTCAAGCTTGAGAATTCACTTTAAATTACAGCGTAAGTTTTAACCGCCGCTCAATTCGAACGTTCTCTTATGTAAATTAAATTGAAAATAGTGAAACTATAGAATGGCGAAGTGTGTAGTAAAACTTTCAGAAAGCTAGTGCGGAAGAGTTAGGCATTTATTTTTTTACTTTTCCATCTTAAATAAGCAATATCGGAAGAGTCGATATAAAATTTTGGAACTTCTCGAAACTTAATTTTTTGGCAACTCTGTTTTGATTACTTAAGAGGGTGAAAAATAAGTTTGCTTTAAAGTTGTGCTTTTAGTTTATAGTTTCATTCTACGTATAAGTTCTAGTCTTTTTAATGCAAAATGACAATTGTTTCAACTTTATTTTACATTTTATAAACGTTTTAATTAAAAAGCCCCTTAATTTATTAAATATGGAGACATTACGGTTTTACTAAAACTGAGTAATCTGAAGAAAAAAAATTACTGAACTTAGTTGCAAAACACCTTTATCTCCTCTCACATATCAGATGGGTATTAGTAACTAGGTTTATTTTTTGATCGAAAAAACACCATACATATCGGGCTGGTGATTGAGATGCTTATGCGTTTGCACACATAAGGAGGAAAAATCTAAAAATTTGGAGAAAAATAGTTCATATGCCGAAATTTTGTGTGTGAATAATTAATTGAAATAGATTTTTCAGTTTTATCTTCATTGCACCAGCAGTAGATACAAATCATAGAAGCACAAGTAATTCGGATATAAAATTTGTCTACATCCATGTAAATCTACGAATAATTAGATTAACACAATTCCCTCAGCTAGTTAATGTTTTGAATACTTTCATTTCCTTTTATTTATTGAAATGTGTTTAATTAATCCCTGTTACCAAATTTTTTAAGGTTGATGTGCTTTAAAGCTTTTTCATAACAGTTATGAGAAAGTTTTAAAAAATATTCAGAACAATGAAATTCAATTACATCCGTTAAAGAATTTTATGCAAGTTTTTAAAAAGTTTTTTAAATACTTGAGATAAAATTAAGTAACATTTCAATAAGAAAAAGCAAACAAAAGTATACTTATGTCATTTAATCCACTTAAGAATATCTTTCTTTCCCTGCTGAGAGGGACCCTTAATGCCCTTTAAAAAAGGATCAAGTGTAACATTGCGTAAATGTAACCTGCTGTGATCTACAAGTATTGTTAAAAACTTCCTTCTAAGGGGCTAAGGCTAAATTTATGTACCCTTAAATTGCATGTTTTTAATACATTCATCGTTGTACTATGTAGATTATATGCATCGACCATTTTAAAAACCTACGTGCATAGAAGACAACGTGCAAGTTCCTGTGAATGACAGAAATCGAGAGAAAATCCACTTTCACCGGTGAATGTCAACAATCACATAGTCGCTCTGGCTAATGTCCGAAATATTTGTTGTATCCGATTTGATATTAATTTATTCGTTAATATTATTACATTCGATATTTTAATAACTGCTATGGATAGATAAGGAGAAACATTAGTGTTCGGAGTACCGGACAGTGGCACTTGACTAGACCTAGTATATATATTTCGAACATTTACCAAAGCGACTATGTGATTGTCAAAAACAACCAATTTTGGTCATTTACAGTATCATATACATAAGCATATATAAATACAGAGAAGAAACGAAAAAAAAAGGGAAACTTACATGAACATAAAGTTAAGTTACTTAAATTCACTAAAATGACATTTAGTGTCTCGGCTCAAAAACGAAGCCAGGCTAAAGGGGAAAGGCAAGGGCCAGGCCCTACCAAAATTCTTAAAAATAATATAGTGTGTATTAAGGTTTTTTTTCAAAAGAAAATGACTGAGGACTTCTTTACTTCGATATTAAAACAACAGTTTTGTATGAAGCTTCCTCAAATACCTTACAAAACATGAAATTAAGGCTTTTTGTGCATTGAGAATATAGCCTGTAATAAATTTTATCTTGTGGTAAAACCTCTGTTCAGGTTGCAAAATTAGACACAAAAACGTAGTTTCTCTGAATAATTATAAATTTTTTTAATGAATTCGAATTTTTGACCCTCAAAACATAGGGAGCAGCCGCAATCTGGGAAATATGGTCCCCATAGTTTGGTCAAGAAAGCTGTCCAAAGTTTGAATCCCTTAATAATAGTTTTAACTTGTGCATATTTCGCTATATCTCCATAACTTTTCAAGCGAATCGGAAATTTTTTGCGCACAATTATAAAATGTGCTTATTCAACCATAATTCCATGCGAAAAAAAATTTTTGGTCATTATTTTTTATTATTTTACTCAAGAATGGTCGAAAAAATTTTGAACAGTGAAGTGTACAAATGTTTGCATTTTTTTAAAGAATATAATTTTACAAGGCAAACCACAAAACTTGAGCAAAATCGATCGAATAGTTCCTGAGAAATCGCATTTTAAGTATCTAACTTTTTTTACTAGACCAATCAATTGCGCGCCTTACTGATCAAACTATTGGAACCATATTTCTGAGATTGCGACTATCCCCAATATAATTGGGGTTAGAAATCCGAATCCGCCGAAGAAAAGGTATGTATTCTAAGAAATTACGCTCTTGTGTCTGATTTCGTATCTTAAAATATAGTCTGCACTTATTAATTCTGGTCACATTCTCGAGTCATTAAGATTGAGTCCTAGAACGTGATGAAATCCGATCACACATTAGGATAAAAATTTATTCAGGGTGGTTCATTTTTTATTTTACTCACTGTACACATCTCACCATTGTTGTTGTATTCACTAATGTCATTAAAACGCACCACTTAAGCTTAAAAATAAAATTTTAAATATGATCTTTAACGCGTGTTTAGTCACAGCAAGGGTAAGGTGATATGTGAAACTTTCTAACAAATAAGAGGAGGGGGTCAAAATGTTAAAAATTAGAGCGGCATCACTTATGGACTGCTCATATGGCACGATAACTTTTAATCCTTTATTTAAGTAATCGTGTCATAATTTGTTTAAGTAATCGTGTCATAGTTTAGCATTGTCAAAAATATGGACGGTCCCTTAAAACCTTTTCCCACTAATCTCTGCTTTTGAAGCTTGTTTTTTCTGTTAGTTTTTTTTTATTAGCATCAAAATGCTATCAGAATTAAACTGCTTCCAACTATTAATACGATTAGTGGCCACGATCAGTCAGTGGTACTTGTTTTAAAAAGTAATGTAATTCAGCTACTTCAGTAGTATAATATCGTTAGTTTCATAAAGCAACACGGTTCTAATGCGACTAATTTTTCGAATTTGATCGGTGCAAATAATCTTCGTGGGTTCGTCAATGGATGCATTGAAAATTGACGCTGTAGCTGAGCGGGTAACAGAAATTACGTATCTAAAATTACATAAAACTAATATTTAAACTAGCCATTGCTGATTGATGTTATTTAGGAAGGAATTGATGTTCTATGTTCTTAATTTCTTAGAGGAAATAAAAGAGCATTAAACTATTAAAAAATTGCAAGTATTTTATAATTCCGCATTTCTTAACGTAAACATTCGGCCAAAAAAGGCATGGAAAATTGAAGGCTAAATGAACAAATTCGAAAAAAATGAAAATTCTGGAATAACAAACTGGTTAGTGCAAACATTAAAAAAAATTTTTTTAATTATTCCCTTTTATTTAATCTTAATGTAAGCCAATTTCTTATTCAAAACCATTTTGAATATGGGTGTAAATTACACCTAAACTCGTCTCCTTAAAGTAATGAAGTAGTTACTATTAATCCAATTATAGTTACCAATTATACCAACTAATCCAATTATAGTTACTATTAATCCAACTATTAATTTTATTTTGTAGTCGTACGCATAAAAGAAATAATAGTAGTTGTAGTTAACTACATTTGCAACAAAGTAGTAAACTACAAAAATAATGTAGTTTTTCCGACAGCTGGATACGATCCTACTACCAATTTAAACTATAAATATTTCAGGACTATTATTACTTGCAAAATTTATAAACTACTTACTTACTAATTACTTACAAAATTATTCTAAGTGTTCAAAGTTTATTATCATTCACTTTCCGATAACCTTTTTAATTGTCGTAACACTACACCTG